GTGCTGCTTCCCAATAACACCTCCAGGTCTCCTTCCCATAGACAGTGAAAAGAGCACACTGATGGCACATCTTTTTGTCACTCTGTGCTCTCCTCTTAGCATACTTTTTTCACAACAGATTTAGTTCCTTGTGCTGCTTCTCCCTCCCCCACTACAGAAATCTGCCTTTCAACTTTTGTGCAGCTGCCCTGTTAGATTTTCTGAGCTGAAGAGACACTCTTCAGCTGGCCAATGATGGATCAGAATTCAGCCAGTTCAGCAGGGACTGAATCAATGTATGGCCGTCCCTGTTTGACAGAATTATATGGTTGGATCGACTGCTGTCGAACATACAGTTGTGTTCAAAATAATAGCAGTCAGACATCACTAACCTGATGAATCCCTGTTTTTGGTAGAAATGATATTTCTACATGGCAAATAATTTACTAGCAGGTGTAGTATAGTAATAGAAATCCAACAGACCCAACAGTCATGACATGCATGCTGCTGATTCTGTGTAATTGAATCACTAATTGAAAGGGGCATGTTCAAAATAATAGCAGTGTGGAGTTCTATTAGTGAGGTCATTCATTCTTTGAAAAACAGGTGGCAATTATTGCCCTTATTTAAGGAAGGAAGGCAGCAAATGTTGTACATGCTGGTTACCGTGCATTTCTCTCTGAAATTCTGAGGAAAATGGGTTGTTCCAGACATTGTTCAGAAGAACAGCGTACCTTGATTAAAAAGTGGATTGGAGAGGGGAAAATATATAAAGAAGTGCAGAAAATGATAGGCTGCTCAGCTAAAATGATCGCAAATGCTTTAAAATGGCAACCAAAAACTGAAAGACGTGGAAGAAAGCAAAAAAACTACCATTCGAATGGATAGAAGAATAGCCAAAATGGCAAGGACTCGGCCAGCAATCAGCTCCAGGAAGATCAAAGAAGTTCTAAAGTTCTCTGTGAGTACTGTTACAATTAGAAGACGCCTATGTGAAGCCAAGCTATCTGCAAGAAGCCCCCGCAAAGTCCCACGGTTGAAAAAAAGACGTGCTGAAGAGGTTACAATTTGCCAAAGAGCACATTGACTGGCCTAAAGAGAAATGGCGCAACATTTTGTGGACTGATGAAAGTAAGATTGTTCTTTTTGGGTCTAGTGGCCGGAGACAGTTTGTTAGACAACTCCAGAAACAAATGAGTACTGTCCGTGATACTTTTTTTATACGGCTACAATCACCTCAGACAACTCCCAAACACTGAATTCAAGCCACAGTACACTGTGAAGACAGTGAAGCATGGTTGCGCAAGCATCATGATATGGGGATGTTTCTCATACTACGGTGTTGGGCCTATTTATCGCATACCAGGGATCATGGATCAGTTTGAATACATCAGAATACTTGAAGAGGTCATGCTGTCTTATGCTGAAGAGGAAATGCCCTTGAAATGGGTGTTCCAACAAGACAACGACCCCAAACACACCAGTAAACGTGCAACATCTTGGTTCCAGACCAAGATTCAAAGGAAAGCAAAATCTTCAAACATTTTTCAGTTTATATAGTGAATGTTTGAGTTTGTAAAGAAGAATACAAACACTGCTATTTTTTTGAACAGTCTAATATTCACTTTTCTTCAATTTTTTTTAGAGGAACAACACAAATTTGATATATTTTTCTTCATGTTTTGATTTGGAATAGAATGTGTAGTGTTCCCAATGCATTTGTGTGTATGGAAATAAAAGCTATTAGAAGGATTTTGAGCTTTATTCACTTTTTTCAACACACTGCTATTATTTTGAACACAACTGTACAAGCTGGAAAACGTTTGTTCACTAATTCTAGTGATAGAAGATATCATATATCACTTTTCATTTTCTTTAGTAACACTTTAATTTTCTTCTGTACATAATGTAATGTGCACACGAAGAATCGGATATTCTAGGTCCCATGTCACATTATCTCCCCTTCACTCTCTGTAGCAAGAATTCAAATACACATTCTAATGTGAATATTTTTCCTAATGAATTTAAAGCAGTATTAAACCCAAAAGCAAACATTCATTGTATTGCAGCTTACCAATTCTTCGTTGTTATGGCTGTATTAATTTTGTTTTTCAGGCTTTTTAATTTATTTTCACCTGGTGTTCCAGCCAGTAAGTCTGTTTTGCAACAGAACAAACTGTCCTGCAGATGTAGTAGTTGAGACTTGAAACCAACCGTTTACCACTGACAGGGGTGCTTACAATGATAAGCATTTACTCATGTAAAACCTTTATCCCAAAAGGAAGAAAACTTCTGCTGTAACTGCAGTGTGAGCTGGAGTTTGGCTTCAATGCATGTAGTGTGTTGTCTGCCAGTACATCCCACACGTACCCCAAAGCCCCCCTCCTCGTGTCTTGATGACTGGACTTCTTCCTGGCGCTGAACTTCTGGTACTGAGGTAGTTAATAGAGTTGGCTCATCGGGTTGAACCCAATAGAACAGTTTCTCTCAACCAGGGTTCCGTGGAATACTAAGGTTCTTCCAGAGGTTGATAGGGGTTCCTTGAGCAATTTCTGCCTCTCAGATAAGTTCCCACCGACACCATTGATCTTTTTAGCCATCTATAAGGCCCCATGTACACGGGACACTTCTCAACTATGGAAACTGACTGCTGGAAAACATAGTTTAGCCGTGTTTGCATACCGCGTTTATGCACGTTTATCAGCATTTGCGTTTAAAATTGTTTTTTATTTTTTTTAACATAACCTCAGGAGACCTTCCGAAATGCCTAGAAAGCACTGAAAAAAAGTAAAAAAATTAACTATTTCAGACATTTTGAGAGAAATAGAGAAAGCAGAAGCAGAGAGCAGTTTGTGTTGAGATTAGCTGTCTTTTTTGGTGTTTGGATATGTTCCAGCTTATTTCTGTGCAGAAATTATTGCAACAGTGTCTATCATATTTTTTTCATGCAAAACCTCAAAGTATGGTGTGCCAGGTCCATTTGAGTACCGGGAAAACTTTGCATGCCTTTTTCATGATGAAAAAGGCTCTGGACAGCATCTGAAAATGGAAGAGTTAAAAAAATAAATTAAAACGCCTATAAACGCTGTTACAAGCGTTTTGTGTTTGAAACGCTGATAAAATCTACCGCTGTGCGCAAGTTTTCTGCGTTCAAAAAAAAGACTGTAAACTCAACTGCCTGTAAACGACATAGTGTACATGGACACATAGGAAACCATTAGGTTGAGTTCAGGGGCTGCTGAAAAAGAACGATGAACAGCTCCTAAACGTGAGTTTCAGCTGCAGTGTACATGAGCCCTAAGGGAGTAACTCTTCCAGTGACCACAAATGCAAGGAGCATTCTTCTCACTGACCATCACACTGATGTATCAAGTTGTAGATATGGTAGAGAGCGGAGAATTATTTCAAGGATTCCTCTGTTGAAAAGGTTGAGAGGCCACAATAGAAGAAGCTCCCGATGAGGACCTATCCCCTCCTCCCCTCTCATCCATTGAGAATAGCCTGTGCAGTTTCCTGATCTGTAATTCAGTGTAGCCCAATTTGTAAATGGGCAAGAAAATCTTGTCATTCATCTTACTTCCCACATTTACAGATCATGCTACATGCAGTGTAAATGGTGCACAGGCTTTCCTCAGTGGATGAGAAGGCGGAAGGGGCAGATCCCTGTCAGGAGCTTCTTTTATTGAATTCAGCCTGGAGTCCATCAGCACAAGAAGATCAGCGCCAGGAATAGGACCTGTTATCCATCCATGCACAGACTTTCTACAGGATCCAGCAGCCTGCACTACATGGGACATACTTCATTGTAAATAAGTTAGGTCACTAAAGCTGTAGGGAAAATATTTTGTGCGCAAAATCTCAGATTAAAATATCCAGCCAAATATATTTCTGTTATTAGTTTGGACTGGTAGTGTAGGACCTATTTCCTTCCTGAGCCGTGATCATTAAGTGTCTTTGTTCTTTGGCGTTATTGTAAAAGTGGCAGATTCTTCTCTTTCAGCCGCTCCTGCTTCCATCCGCTTAAATAATTAGCTGCCTCTCTATATAAACACATAGGGGGAGGGAGCAGTGTTACCTGTCTTTGTTAGCTCTCACAGTGACAGGACAGGAGTGCCTAGACCTGTCTGGGTGGTTATAAAAGCCACCTTTGTTTATGTACAAAGTTTTGCAACTGTACCAAACCTTGCAGGCTGGCAACTCTGTTTTATGCACCAACAACAGAACCATTAGGCTTGCATTGTATGTACTGCAAACCTCTGTATAGAGGATTTGTCAGCCCTGGATGGGTAACATGTGTAAAAAAAAAAAGTTTGGAAGAGTTTACAAAGAGTCGATTGTGTTCCTATTTACTATAGACCTGAAAATGGACAGCTTCGCACATCCACAACACCTACATTTACATCACTAGCTCCAGTTACTTGTAACAGGAGTCCGCAGCCCAGCAAGTTAACGCTTCTCAAATCACAGACATGGTGGTATACTGTAGGTTTGTCACCTGCCAGCCTGACCTAAATTGTACCCTTGATGCTGCCAATCCCTAGTGTTCTAGGCTCTGAGGTTGTTCACACCCCCTGCATATGTGAAAGATTCCAGAGATAGCAAGTGCCCAGCAAGGAGATTGACTGACTGACTGTCTATAACCACACCATTTTTAAACACCTCCCAACACTGAGATCAGTCTCCAGGAGAGATTGTTTGCTGATTCTTTTTGTAACTGAGGCAACAGTGAGAATCCTGTTCGTTATCTCTCTCTGCTTACTGACTCCTCCGGTATTATATTGCAAACGTTTACTGTACTAGATGAAAACACAGTGACAGCTTACCAATTGATGTATAATCCCAGTAATGCATCAGACAGAAAATGACAAGCTGTAGCTTTACATTCCTGTTGGGTATTGTGTAAACAAACTGCATGATATGTTTTTTGTATTCTTTAACTGTTTGGCTTTTAAGCTGTACTCATCTGTCCCTATAATTCTGCTTGTTTCCCTCCGACTCTTCTGTTTTCTCTCTATATACAGATCTACCAGGTTCAGAAGGTAATGTCTATGCATTGTATTGTTATTGTACTGTCGCATGTTCTGTCTCCCACTGTAATGTACAGCGCTGAGCGAACTGTTGGCGCTTTATAAATACTTTTTAATAATGTTTTTGTGTGTAATTCCCTGCATGACTGGGTAGTTTAGTTACTTCACTCTTTTGTTTAGTATTCATTATATGACTTATTTTTGTATTGACCTTGTTTAACAGTTTCTAAAATTTGTTGTGCTTGTAAAAGATGCATGGAACCTGAAATTCTAAGGTGCATCACCTAGAATGTTCTATAACAGTCATACAAATATCAGGCGCCTCACCCAGGATTTTCTGCTCGTTCTGAGGCCTTCAGTTCAAGTGTACACATTATATATAGGTATTTATGTTTTATCTGGAGATGACATATCTTTTTTGGGCTTAGGGTTTATGTGTGGGTAATATATTTTCCTGTGATGTGTCAATTCTAGTTCAAGCATATGCAGAAGAAAAATAGATTTGCATTGTGTTTTTTTGTTTGTTCTTGTAGCCTGCATTGACATCCTGAAAATGTTTGACCTGACAGCTAGTGCATGGAGTGCAGTATACTACTGAAGTGTTTGCTGTGCGTGATTCGCTTCTTTTAATGTTTACCAGTCTTGCTGACCTGTCACTTCTCTTCTTCCTTCAGAAATATTATGGTTTGGATGCCAAGTGGGGTGACATTGAGCAGTGGATGGTAGGCTTTTACATACAATCCCTGTGTGTTATGTTTAATAAACCGTGTGAGCTGCGTAGTGTCAGAAGCAGTTGATGCAAAGTTATTGTAGCAGAATAAAAGTCTATTAGCTGCATGCTTAAAAAGTTTAGCTATCCCTAGGCAATTGTGGAAGCTGATTCTATACTTGTCATGAAGAAGTAGCAATGTACAAACCTTAAAACCCAAAATCCTGTATTCTGCTGGGAATTAAAAACTGTCCAGATATCGAATCGTAAAAGTTCTGCAGCTTTTTGTTCTCACTTGCTAGAGGTGATTGTAGCCATATTAGTGCACTTGCGACAAACAACTGAGTACCGTCCGTGATACTTTTTTTTTTTTTTTCTTTTTATTTGCACTAACATACAGTTTTCAGGACAAGCTTTTGGGGTATTTCCCCTTCTTCAAGGTCCAAGCAGTACTACTTCACAAAGTTTTAGCAGAATGTTTTTGCTAGAAATAGAAAAGCAAAGTGGTCTGCCTTGTTTGTCATAAATTATCACATTTGTATCTGTATTTATTTCTTGGCTTACTGCTAAAGTACAAAAGGAGTTCTCGAGAAATACTGAGCTGTGATTTCTGTCCCGTCTGAAAACATTGCCTGGATAGTTCTGGCTGTCATGATTGAAAGTCAGACTTTTTCTCCCTGCAAAAGAATAGTTAACATAATTATCTTTCTGGTGGCCCATGTCTGCTATCTTTGCTGCTCTTCAGGGCATAGCAGTGGCCTAGCGGTTGATCAATAGGACCGCAGTGTGCAGTGGGGGTCACAGGTATCCAACAAAACCAGAAATGTTGAATACTGAAGAGGCTAGTGGAGGCTGGAGCACTGAAATGGAGCAAAGGTAGGACACATGGGCCATCAGAGAGGTGAGTATAATAAATCTCCCACAGGTACCTGTGGTTATGTTTTTGGGTGATGACAGTGTTGCTCTAAAACACTAACCTGGAGCAATCATTCAGATCACAAGAGTCAGCTTATTTGTTCAGGTCAGTGATTAAGAATGTGCTGAAGCAATTGGATCAATGTGAAAGCCAGTGGGGTTTAAATAAGGGATCCTGTGTGGCTCTAGGGGAGGGAGGAGAGTTGAAGAGCTCTGAGGTTGGTAGCGTGACTATGGGGCACTTTGGGGATTTGAGGGAAGTTTTTCACTACTATCTGTGAGTTAGTACAATGTGCTCTCAGGTAGTCCAGATCTCCTTGGCATAGTGCCCACCTGCAGCATCTCCTTCTTCCCATCTCTGGTTATGTGAGTTGTCACATGATCAAGGAAGACCAGGAAAGGTGTAGTCTAACCTCACTCCCTATTGGGTGCTTTGTTGTGAGGTTTTTTTTTAAGCGGGTGCCCCCTTTCCCTTCTGGCTTCTGCCCACAGTAGGCGGCCATTAGAGGAGAGGAGACAGAATCCTTCCTTCAGCAGCAATCTTGGCCTCTGCTCTGCCTGGGAGGGTTGATGCTGCCAGAGAACACATCATTGGCAAGTTTCTTTGGTATAATGATAGAGGGCACCCCCACACACCACACGCATAAAAACACTGCACCTGGGGTAGCTTGTCCCTCTTACCCTTCCTGCCCCTTGTCCCACCCCTCCAGTGGATATAAAAAGTCTACACACCCTTGTTAAAATGTCAGGTTTCTGTGATTTAAAAAATTAGACAAAGATAAATAATTTCAGAACTTTTTCCACCTTTAATGTAACCAATAAACTGTACAATTCAGTTAAACAACAAATCTTTTAGGTGGAGGGAAGTAAAAATAAATTAAAATAATATGGTTGCATAAGTGTGCACACCCTTAACGAATACTTTGTTGAAGCTCCTTTTGATTTTATTGCAGTACTCAGTCTTTTTGGGTATGAGTCTATCAGCATGGCACATCTTGACTTGGCAATATTTGCCCACTCTTCCTTGCAAAAACTCCAAATCTATCAGATTGCGAGGGCATCTCCTGTGCACAGCCCTCTTCAGATCACCCCACAGATTTTCAATTGGATTCAGGTCTGGGCTCTGGTCTCTGGCTGGGCCATTCCAAAACTTTAGTCTTGTTCTGGTAAAGCCATTTCTTTAATGATTTTGGATGTATGCTTTGGGTTGTTGTCATGCTGAAAGATGAAGTACCTCTTCATGTTTTCAGCTTTCTAGCAGAAGCCTGAATGTTTTGTGCCAATATTGACTGGAATTTGGAACTGTTCATAATTCCCTCTACCTTGACTAAGGCCCCAGTTCCAGCTGAAGAAAAACAGTCCCAAAGCATGATGCTGCCACCACCATGCTTCACTGTAGGTATGGTGTTCTTTTGGTGATGTGCAGTGTTGTTTTTGCACCAAATGTATCTTTTAGAATTATGGCCAAAAAGTTCAACCTTGGTTTCATCAGACCATAACACATTTTCCCCACATGCTTTTGGGAGACTTCAGAAGTGTTTTTGCAAAATTTAGCCGGGCTTGGATGTTTTTCTTCGTAAGAAAAGGCTTCCATCTTGCCACTCTACCCCATAGCCCAGACATATGAAGAATACGGGAGATTGTTGTCACATGTACCACACAGCCGGTACTTGCCAGATATTCCTGCAGCTCCTAATGTTGCTGTAGGCCTCTTGGCAGCCTCCTGGTTTTCTTCTCGTCTTTTCATCAATTTTGAAGGGATGTCCAGTTCTTGGTAATGTCACTGTTGCGCCATGTTCTCTCCAGTTGATGACTGTTTTCACTGTGTTACCCCCCCCCCCCCCCCCCAAAAAAAAAAGATTTCAGATTGTTATTCAATTGAGTTGTACAGTTTTATAGGTCACATTAAAGATGGAAAAAGTTCTGAAATTATTTTTTTCTCATTTTTTTTTACATCACAGAAACCTGACATTTTAACAGGGGTGTGTAGGATTTTTATATCCACTGTAGGTTTATATCTTTTTGAAAATCCCATCATGGGATTACCTTTTGAGGATCTTATCTTTCTGCCCCCTCACAAAATGGTATAACTAAGGTATCAGACAGTTTTGCCAGAAGAATTTCCTTTTTGAGTGCAGATAGACTTTAAATTCAGTGGATGTTATGCAAAAACTTTGTATAACCATTGAGTTCCTGCTCAGAGCATGATAGTTGAGTGGAGTGACTGTGAATTAATTTTACTTATTATATCATTTTCATTTTGGAATTGTGTTCTATTACACTACCAGTTTACAATGTCCCCATTCCCATTTGTTACTTTCCTCTTATCTCCCATCCCTTCCCATCTCTTGTCTGTTTTTATCCTCCTTGCTGTGAGCTGCTTCATGTGTTTCTCTTGTCCCTGCAATGCTTTTCCAGGAAGATAGTGAGCGATATTCACACAAACCACGGAGGAATCTCCAGGTCAGTTTTACCCATGCAACATTATGCTAACCATGAAAACCTACCTGCAAGCCTGTTGATCCTTATGGCCAGTTAAAAGTGCAACAGTGTTGAGCTGAATGATCATCCAGTACATTTCTCTTTTTACTCATTTATCCTTTGTCATTTAATGTTCAAGTTTTAGTAACATGGCTCTTAAGTAAACTTTATTCCCAACTACTCATCAAAGCAATAACGACAGATGATGGAAATAACTTAATACTATACTAAATGTGTACTAACAGATGTGTAGTTTCTTCTTTGCTTCTACCATTTTTACATGCATGCAATTTCCATCTTTTACTCAAATTAACGTGGAACTCTAGGCAAACACCTTTAAGTGTACTTGTGATCTTGATACTATCTTTTACAGTTTAGGATTCGTTTACACAGGCCTATTTACACGTACATATGTGCGAAAGGCTGTCTTAGCCCACACGGGTTGCACAGGGTTTCTGTGCATCCACTTGTTAGGCAGTCGCATTCATGTCTTTCAGGACACGACCACTGGTCGTCATTTGTCAGTGTCCCCAAATGCAGAGGCCTCATTCACATGGGTGTATCTATGCATACACCCGTGCAAAGGGTCATCTTGGCCTGCATGGGATGCATAGGTGTTTTGTGCATCCACGAGCAAGCAGCCTATTGCTTCACAAACTTTTCATTGATTACACTGCCTGTAACACGATCTGTGAATGGGGGAGAGAATGCTGTGACCAGACTCTTTCCTATTCTCAGATCATGTTACAGGCAGTGTAATCTGTGAAATTATTATTATTATTATTACAGGTACTTGTATAGCACCATCAATTTACTGTATTTATTGTGTATATATTGTACATTTGCATCAGTCCCTAATCCTCAAGGCGCGTACAATCTAATTTCCCTAACTCACATTCATACATACACCAATTTAGACCGGAGCCAATTCACCTACCATCATTTCTTTTGGAGTGTGGGAGAAAACCAGAGTACCCGGAGGAAACCCACGCAGGCACAGGGAGAACATGCAAACTCCAGGCAGGTGGTGCTGTGGTTGGGATGCAAACCAATGACCCCAGTACTGCCAGGTGGGTCTGCTAACCATTTAGCTACTGTGCTGCCTGCGAAATAACCCTTTCCAATGGTGGACAAGGAAGGAGGGGGTGTGCCCCCATTGGATCATCGGTCTTAGGTTTCTGTTGTATCGGAAGCTAAACATCAGCAGAACTGATTTCAGTTGGTTTATTAGGCAGTTCATACATTTTTTTTTTTTTTTATTTATTTTTGTTCAACGCAAAAAAAAAAAGACCCAATTCCCCCATTCACACACTCAATTTAGATGGGGGGGGGATCCTTCTAGCTGAGGCAGCGGGGAGATTTTCCTGCTGTCAGAATACACTGATCAGTGCTGCAGGCTATAGTTGGTGGCACTGTTCAAGAGGGAGCTTGACTTCTGTACAACCAGCCTTGCCCGTACATGGATCGGAATTCGACCGGTCCCTGCTGAACCCACCGAATTTCGAACTATGTATGGTTTGCTTTATGCTACATTCGCACAGACAACTAGCGCTGGTGTGAATGACAGTGGCAGGAATCTGCTGATACCCTTAGCTGTTTCTGCCACCTGTTAGCAGCTAGCTGCTACCCGACGCCGAGCCCTGTACACTTCAATGACGGTTCGGCAGAAGCTGCAACTACCTGTGGCTGTCTATCCTATCAGTGCTCACCTGCAGTGATCACTGCAGGATGCACACAAAGTGCGGCCATCAGCCATTTTTGATTGAAAAGATACTTTTATTACAGAAGCATCAAAAACAACATGTTACTTGTAATCGGGGTACATCTCACCCTGTACTGCGACGCAGCGCACCACATTGCAATACAGTTCCAAGCATACAATAAATACATTCAGAAATAAATACATTCGCTCAGCGGTATGATGCCTGACGTGATGTGCGTGGAGGACGAATCTCCAGACCACCACGTCATGCATAACGCCGCTTACCCCAAAAACTGTAGCATCCTAATATACATTACGTTTCCTAATAATACTAGTGCATGCAAAAACGAAAACCGGATATTACGATCAACAATAGGCATCGGGTGTGTGGGGGGGGGGGGGGGGGGGGGGGAAAGAACACAGGCTCGAAGCTTTATTGAAAAGACAAAGACGCGCAAGGGGGAGTAGGGGGAAGGGGAAAATCTTCAGACGTCCTCTTCCTCCTTAAAGTCCATCAAGGAATAGTCTCTGAGCAGACTGAGGATCAGTCTGCGGCAGTCCTCAATGGACATCCTCTCCCGCTGGTGGATGAGGCGCTTTCTGGCGCACCATAAAGCGTCCTTAAAACAGCACAGCAGCACCCGCCAGGCGCCGTCAATGTCCTCCAGAGAAAAAGTCCCACAGAATAGTCCATTCAACACCCCAAAGTGAGTGATGGCTGTCTGTGGTACAAAGTCCTTGAGTTCAGGTTCCAGGGCCCCCAACAGGGCCTGAGCAAATGAGCACTCCCAGAAAACGTGGTGAGACGTTTCCTCGTGGATGATGCAGAAGGGGCAGTGTCTGTATCTGCTCAGGTTCCTGGCATGCATAAATGTCCTGAGAGGCAACCCCCCTTGGATTGCCATCCATGCCAGGTCTTTGTGCCTGTTGGTAAGAATGTTGGAAGAAACATTCCTCCAGACCACCTTGCAGGTGTCTGAAGGCAGGCCTGGAACCGACTCCAAAATGTCGCTGGCTCGGATGAGCTTGTAGATAGTCTTTGGCTTCCACAAGTCAGGCTTGACTCCCTGCAGCCCTTGCTCCCTGATGAACTTGAAGGTATCCAAGTAGTACCAAGGAGTGTCCCAGTTGTAGGGGATGGAACTATCCCAAGTGTCCCACCCCAGGGACCTCCAGAGAGGCAACAGGAAGAAGCGAGACATTGCGTTCCTGCCAGAGTCCATAATCCGTCTGGGCAAAGTTCTGCGGATGCAGTTGCAAGCAAAGAACACCCTCAGCTGGGTGGCGATGTCGGGCACGCCCTTACCGCCCTTGAGGGGTTCCTTGAACATGACTGCCCGCTTCACTCTGTCCATCTTGGAGCCCCAGATGAAGTGAAACACCGCCCTGGTGATGCCCTTACAGGTGTTGACCCGTGGGGGCCAGGCCTGGGCGAGGTACTGCAACACAGGGAGAATCTCGCTGCGGAGTACCAGTGTCTTCCCTTCGATGGAGAGGTCTCTGAGGCTCCATAGTCCAAACTTTTGGCGCATCTTGGCCAGTCTCTCCTCCCAAGACTTCAGGGCTGCGCCCTCGGCACCAAACCAAACTCCCAAAATTTTCATGAAGTCTGTCTTGATGCCAAAGGGCATGGATGCAGAAGAAGGCAGGAACCACTTTCCGAAGAGCATGACTTCCGACTTCCCGCAGTTGACCTTTGCCCCCGAAGCTTGGCCGAAGTCCTCGCAGGTCTGGACGAGCAGGTCGATGGAGCGCTGGTTGGCACAGAACCCCGTCACGTCGTCCATGTAGAGCGAGCACTTCACTTCCCGTCTGTCCGGTCCCGGTGCGGTGATTCCCCCGATCTCTGGATTCCGTCTAATGCATTCGGCGAAGAGCTCTATACAGCAAACAAAAAGCAGAGGTGAGAGAGGACAGCCTTGTCTGACCCCGGAGAGGACCGGGAAGGGGTCAGTCTTCCAGCCGTTCACCTGCACGGAACTACAAATGTCGTTATACATCATATCCACAACCGAACAGAACATTTCCCCAAGACCAAACCTGCGCAGGGCTCTGCACATAAACCCATGGGAGACACGGTCAAAGGCCTTTTCCTGGTCAAGACTGACCAGGGCCGCGTGCACACGGCGGTCTTTGATGTACTGGACCGTGTCCCGGACAAGCGCTAGGCTGTCCGCAATCCTGCGGCCAGGAATGCCACAAGTCTGATCCGGGTGGATTATCTGTCCGATGACAGCCTTCAACCTGTTCGCCATAACTTTGGCAAGGATCTTGTAGTCCACGTTCAAGAGAGAGATGGGACGCCAATTTTTCAAGTCACATCTCTCCCCCTTACGCTTGTACAGGATCGTGATCATCCCCCCTCCCTCAATGAAGGAGGCATCTTGCCCTCCACCACCATCTCCTCGTACAGCTCGAGCAGGTCCGGGCCCACAAGATCCCACAGCGCTACATAGAGCTCCGCTGGGAGACCGTCGCAGCCCGGGGTCCTGCCTCGCCTAAAGGATTTAGCGGCAGAGTGCAGTTCCTCCAACGTCAAGGGGGCGTTGGTGGCCGACAAACCTGCAGGATCAATAGCATTAGAGATACCTGACAAGAACCTGTTGGCCGCTGCCGTGTCTGTTTCTTTGGGGGAGTAGAGGTCGGAGTAGTAGTCGCTGACCACTTCCATCACGGCCTCCTTCCCCTTCTGGAGTGTTCCAGTCTTGTCCCGCAGCTCAGACAGGGGAGTGTGTCCTGAGTGGAGTTTCCTGAAAAAGAAAGAGTTACACTTCTCACCTTTCTCTAGATGCTCCACCTTGGCACGGAAGACAATGTGACTGGATTCTTGCCCAAAATGCTTTTTCAAGCTCTTCTTGGTGTCCTCCAGGTCTTGCCTCACGTCCCAGCCACAGAGATGAAGGTCCTGCAGGGACTGCAGCTGACGCTGCAGCCTCCTGAGTTCCCTCCTCCTGGCACACACTTGCTGGCGTCCCCTGGCCTGAAAGAAGCTGCGCAGCTTGACTTTCACGAACTCCCACCAGTCGCTTACCTTGGGAAAGAAAGACTTCTCCCCTCGCCAGGCACCTTAGGTTTCCCTGAGCTCCTCTAGCAGTTCCTCATCGTCCAGCAGGGTGCAATTCAGCTTCCAGGAGCCTGGGCCCCGGGGCAAAGCCCTCTCCCAGATCGCCTTGAAAGTGAATGGCCCTGTGGTCAGAGAAAAAGCAGGGAACCATGGAGAACCCGCGGTGCCTGACTGCCCTGGAGGTGAGCACAAAGTCAATCCTGGAGCGCACAGATCCATCGGGGCGGCTCCATGAGTAGTTCACGGAACCGCGCCCCACGGATCCCACTGCGTCTCGCAGGGAAGCCTCCGCAATCACCTCCCGGAGCAGCTTCGAGGTGGCGTCGAGTTTTGCGTACATGCTGGAGCTGCGCCCATCCTCCTCTATCGGACAGTTAAAATCACCGCCGATTACTACTGTTCTCGTTGTGACGAGTTGCGTCCGCAGGGTTTGTTAAAGTTCCAGCCGCGCGTTCTGCGGCCATCAGCCATTATCACAGGCAAGGCAGACAGCAATGGATAGCTGTGGCCACCGCCAACCTGTCATTGAAGTGTATCGGACTTACAGGCGGCAGCTAGCTACTCATGTGTGGCAGAAACAGCTGAGAGAATCAGCAGATTCCTGCCACTGTCATTTGAATTGGCGCTAGCTTCCCGGGGCGAATGTAGACTTCACAGCTTGGAAACCCCTATGGCTGGCAGCCTGCCAAGATCTTCACTTCCTGTGATGTGAACTATGAAAAATAATTCCCCTCAATGCTTTTAGATATGGAGATGAATGAGGGCTTGTTTTAAAGTGCCTACAAATCTTTGTATGCCTAAGTTTTCGTAAGAGCATTTAACAATTTGCCTAGAGTTTCACTTACTGATTATGCCCATAGTATATAATAAAATCTGAAAATGAAGGATCCCTTAACATTGGTGTCCAGAGCGCATGTGCATGTAAGACACACTGAATAATCCGATAGAGGAATGAAGCAGATATAAGTAGGTGCAGGTGCCCGAGGTGATTCTAATTCTAAACATAAACAGCAGCTTTCTGCAGATGATAGAAATTAAATGGGAATATTTTTTTGCCATCTAATAATCATCTCTAGATGAGAATTTCTTCTTTTCATGGTGTAAAAGAATTGTTTGCTAGCTCGAATTAAGTATGTGGCAAGTGAGGTCAGAATTACTGATCCAAATACTTGCTTTGGTTCTGAGACTTAGAATATTAAAGCTATTGGATTGGAATAATAGCCAGGCAACTAGAATTTTCAGTAAAATACTAGTACTAGAATAATACAAGTTTCCTTTAATAAAAGTACCGTAATCTTCTTTTTTTTTTTTTTCCCGTAAACTAGGAGCTTCCCTCCAGAGTTGTTTGTGATCTCTTTAGCCTTTTTGTTCATTTTTATGTAACTCTTTGGCCTTTTCCACCTTCAGGCTTCAGATGACGATGATCTCATGTCTGTGACTAGCAGAAGCAGTCTTAGGGTTAGTACCCTGTGTTTTTCTATGTGCCTAATGAGTGTTGTGAGGTGATGCATGTGATTCTGCTATTGTGATTTGACTGGTAGTGTGTTGTACCAGTTACTCAAGCATCAGGTGCTACATACAGCTTGTCTGTTACTCATAAAAACTAGCATGTGAAGAGGAGTCCATTTGGCTGTAAGCCACTACGGCACACCCTGCGTTCTTATAGTGTTCACTTCCTATTTCATTAGCAAAATTAACAGCCATTTTCCAAAAGCTCACATAGTAGTCACGCTACGTGCCATTGTTTGACTTTGCAGATTGTTTGGCTCTTAAAAGGACTTTTTATTTGAGATATATTGTGTGTAGTAATATGTGCACGTATATATAGTCCAATGCTGTATTCCTCCATTCAGCCAGCAACCATTGCTAAGCTGGCCACACAGTCAGATTTTGTAACTGTATATAAATTTAATGGCTTATTAGGTATTGGGTGAGCCCTTACAATTCAGGGTTGTTGGTAAAATTTGCTGGCGAACAAGTAACAGATCAGATCTCAGCAATATGACGCTGTCTTTCTATCTTTAGATTTACACACACACACTATATATATATATATATATATATATATATATATATATATATAAATAAAATCATTCCTAAAGTATTCTGATCCCCTTTACGGTTTCCATTTTTGATATGCTGCAGCCTGATACTACAGTTGTTTGCATTTTTGTTTGCATTTTTTTTTCTCATTAATCTACACTCTTTACCCCATAATAACAAAGTGAAAGGAGAATTGTAGAAATGTTTCTGAATTTATTAATAACTGAAATATCACATGTACTTGCGTATTCAGACCCTGTTACTCAGTACTTTGTTGAAGCAACTTTGGCAACAATTACAGCCTCAAGATTTTTTTGCTATGATGCGACAAGCTTTGCACATTTGGATTGGGGGATTTTGTGCTATTCTTCTTTGCAAATCCTCTCAAGGTCAGTCAGGTTGGATGGGGACTGGCGGTAGACGGCCATTTTCAGGTTTCTCCAAAGATATTCATTAGGATTCAAATCAGAGCTCTGGCAGGGTTACCCTAAGACATTCACAGAGTTGGCCCCAAGTCACTCCTGTGTTGTCTTGGCTGTGTGCTTAGGATAGTTGTCATGTTGGACGGTGTACCTTCAGCCCAGTCTGAGGTCCTGAGCACTGTGGAACAGGTTTTCGTTGAGAATTGCTCCATTCAGCTTTCCCTCAATACTGATCAGTCTCCCAGTCCATGCTGCTGAAAGCACCCCCACAGCATGATGCTGCCACCACCACCACCACACTTCAGTGTTGGGATGGTATTGAGCAGGTGATGAGCCATGCCTGGTTTCCTCCAGACATAACATTTAGAATTGAAGCAAAGCAGTTCAATCTTTGTTTCATCAGACCAGAGAATCTGGTTCCCTACAGTCTGAGAAGTGCTTTTATTTTTGCAAACTCTAGGCTTTCATGTTTTTTGCTCTGAGGAGAAACTTTTATCTAGCCACTCTGCCTAAAGCCTAGATCAGTGGAGGGCCGCAATGATGGTTGTCCTTCTGGAACTTGGTCACTTCTCTTACTAAGACACTTCTCCCCCAATTGCTCAGTTTGGCTGGGCAACCAGCTCTTGGAAGAGTCTTGGTTGTGCCAAACTTTTTTCATTTGGGAATTATGGAGGCCACTGTGCTCAGTGCAGCATCATTTTTTTGTAGCCATCCCCAGATCTGTACCTTGCAATAGTCCTGTTTCTGAGTTCTGCAGGCAGTTCATTTGACCTTGTGGCTTTTACTCTGATACAGTATGCATTATCAGTTGTGAGGCCTTTTTTGTAGTGAGGTGTGTGCCTCTCCATTTCATGTCCAATCAATTTAATATACCACAGGTGGACTTCAATCAAGGTGAAGAAACTTCTCAGCAAGAGCAAAAGAAATTGAAGGCATCTGAGCTAAATTTCAAGTGTTGTTAGGAAGGGTCTAAATACTTATGCCAATATATTTCAGTTTTTCCTTTTTCATGCATTTGCAAACATTTCTAAAATTCTTTTTTTCTTTGCCATTATGAGGTACTGAGTGTAGATTAATGAGAAAAAAAATAATTTAAGCAACTGTAGTATCAGGCTGCAACATAACAAATATGAAAATCATAAAGGGGGGTCAGAATACTTTAGATAGATATAGATATATTTTTTTTCCCTTGTTTGTTCCCGGTTTACTCATACTTTTATGTGCGCAACAAAATTAAATACCTATACAAAGCAAAGCAATCATTGATTGAATTAAAGCAGAACTTCACACTAAAAAGGGAAGTTCCACAGGTAGCAGGTACCTACTTTTGATACAGTAGACATGCTGGTGCTGGGGACCCGAAGACTAGTGAATAACTGCCCCGGGTGAGGACAGTGCTGGATTCCTGCACAAGTAAGTGTCCTTTTATTAAAAGTCAGCAGCTACAGTTTTTGTAGTTGCTAACTTTTTTTATTTTATTTTTTAAGACTGAAGAACCTATTTAAACTACTTTGGGCCCTGCACACAAATAATCAGCTATAGATGCAGATTGGGTTTTTGTTTTTTTTTTCTCCAAGAAATAGAACACTTTTTTTTTTAAGACACAATGACAAATGAGGCTCATTATTTTTGCATGTTTTTTTGACTTGCTATATACAATTGTGTATTCTGTGTAACTGGCTGCAACGTGAATTTTCTTTACTTTAGTCCTTCTTTTTCTTTTTCTAACAGACCAATGGTTACGAGGATGAATTATTTGGACCATCACAGTATAGGAAGTCCAGCAGGGTCAGTTAACAGCTCAGACCAGCGTTATTCTTCCATGTTTGATGCTGCTTTTAGGGCATAGCCAATTCTCTGCGTCTTATTTGTTATCCTTTTTTTACCCATAGAGCTCCACAGGCAGTGGAGAGACCTTTCAGTCCTCCCGGGGGGCACCCAAAGATGAGGCAATGGTTCGTTATATACATTCAGCTTTTGCCTAGTTTGTGTGGAGCTGATGCATGAGATCCATGCCTCTATAACAAGCTATTAATGTGTGGTATATCACAATTTAATGTCAGAGATCTTTTGTTTAACCAAATAAGTATACACTTACAATTAATATTAATTCTAACCAGACATTTATAATGTCTGCTATCATGTGTTTTGGAGCCTGAAGGTACTGACTTGGTTGTATGCTGCAAGGAATAAAGATATAGTGTTGTTTGGCCATGTTTACTGATTTTCAGCAACTCCCCTTCTTTACTACAGTATGCTGTGTTGTGTGTTTTTTTTTTTTTAAATAAAGTTTTACTAAACCCACAACAGTAAAATCAGTCTGTATATGGCGTAAAGCATGCTTTTCATACTCACTGTGGAACCTAAGGGGTTAATCCTCTGCATTGTGTAAAAACGCTGTCTGTTCCTGACTTCTCTGATGATCCCCTTCTTGCAGTTTCCCCCTCTTATGTCATAAGACATATTGTGTGGAGTCTCTCTGCATGCGCTCAGTTTGGTGTGTATTACCAGAGAGGTTTTTTTTTATTCTTGGGAGAGTGCATATGATCAGCACAGGGCCAATCAGCACTGTCCAGACAGAGGTCAGGGGTTCTGCATCCTCCTAGAGCAAAATTAATACTTCTCCTACAACCTTTTAACCGGTGCTCGGCTGGTCACTGATAGAAGTCATAAGACTGCTCTAACTGCTGATGAGAAAAGGTATTTAGCAGTTTATATTTACTAAAATAATTACACTTCCATGTTCTGTGTACTGGGGATGTCAGTGACACCAAGTCAGTTCCCCTCAGTGTCAGAATGTCCACCGCAGTTCCGCAATAAGTCACTGATCGCCGCCATTATTAGTTGGAAAAAAAAATTCTAGCATCTATACTGCCATTTGTAAATGCAGTAACTTTCATGTAAACCAATTAATTTACACGTATTGGGGTTTTTTTTTTTTTTTTAGCAAAGACAAAGAAAATTTAATTTTTTAAAAACATTTTTAATGGACATATTTAATTGAAAATGTTTTTGCAGGGTCTTACTTTAGAAAGGAGTCACCAAATAGCTCAATTATTACTTGCAAAACATCCATATTTTAATTTGTATAAAAAGACAGTCATCAGTGGGAGGCTGGGTGTGAATGGACTCCACTGTCACCCCGATACACTCGATTGCCCTCCAATCTGATCTGCCTAGATGGAATGGGACAGATCTCCTTCAGGTTTTTTTTCAAGCAGACTGGATCGGACCCAGAGGTAGGCTGGTGTAAACAGACACAAGTGCGTTTCTTAAGCCTGTCTGTCCATAGGGATGAATGGACGATCCAATCAGGTCCGCCTGAAACATGACGAATCTCCCATGTGAAAGGTGCATTTTGAGCAGATATATTTTTTAATATTATTCCCAGGAGGTTAGTACAAGTGACCAAAGCAAATGAATAAAGAAAGCTTTACAAAGCACTAACCTGACAAAAAACAAAGTATCTTCTACACAGGCTTTATAGAAGACAATCCAGTTACTTTCGATGATTAACCATTTGACGCCCGGCCAATAGCCGTATGGCGTCCGGAAAAATGCACTAGCTTTCCGGGAGGCCGCCATTTGGCATACTCCCGCACATGCACAGTTCGGGCGCTTGCAGAGCCGTGCAGCGGCGAGATCTGTCAACGGCCATGTACCTCAGACACTGCCGATGACAGATCTGAGTATCGGCCCCGTTGCCGGTACCATGTGACCTGCTGTGACCAATCACAGCAGGTCACATGGCAGTTGTATACAATGGATGGCTTCATTCATGCCATCCATTGTATACTAGTGTCTAGCTGTGAATGGTCACAGCTAATTTCGTGCACATGTCATGTGATTAGCTGTGGCCAAATCGCAGCTAAGCACAAAAAAAAAAAAAAACCTGAATGAATTGATGTCATTCAGGCAAAATAATTCTTTGCTATAAGCCAATTGTGCAAAAAAAAAAAAAAAAAATACTGATCACTTCCCCAAAGTAGTACGATGTTACTATGGTAACATCGTACTACTTTGGACATGGTGAAATATGAAAAAAAAATCTTAAAGAAACAAAATAATACAAAATTTAAAATAATAAAAAAATTAATATGTTATATGACGACGCTGTACTGCACTGGTGATAGTATGTAAAAAAAAAAAATAGTGAAAATTATTTTTTTTATTTTTTCATTTTCCAAAAAATTATAACAAAAAAAATACAACTTGCAAAAACTCGCCATGCCTCTTATGAAGTACATCGGACTGTCTACTTTGCAAAAAGGGGTCGTTTGGGGAATATCTGTACTATTCTGACATTCTTGGACCTCAAGAAATTAGATTGGCTGTCAGTACTTCAGGATTGATCAATATTCAGATCTATCCCATAGTTTGTGAACTCTATAACTTTCCTACAAACTAAAAAATACATCCTAATTTGGGTTATTTTCACCAAAGACATGTAGCAGAATACATCTTGGCCTAAATTTATGAAGAACAATTATTTTCTTTTATAACAGAAACAAAGAAAAACGTGTTGTTTTTTTTTTTTTCAAAATTTGTGGTCTTTTTTTTGTTAATTTAGCAAAAAATTTAAACCCCAGCGATGATTAAATACCACCAAAAGAAAGCTCTAGTTGTGTGAAGAAAATGATAAAATTTTAGTTTGGGTACAATGTTGTATGACCGCGCAATTGTCATTCAAAGTGAGAGCGCTGAAACCTGAAAAATGGCCTGGGCAGGAAGGGGGTAAAGTTGCCCGGTATTAAATTGGTTAAGATGAGATCCCTCACAGTTATTACCTTACCACCAGCCCCTCCCTCTTTGATTGTAAGCTCCAAGGAGCAGGGCCCTCCTAACCCTCTTGTATTGATCTTTATCGTTGCTGTATTGTCTCCCTTTACATTGTAAAGCGCTGAGCAAAAACTGTTGGCGCTATATAAATCCTGTATAATAATAATAATTAGAGCAAAGCTTTTTCAGGGTAGTTCTTGTTCTCTATGGCATTTCTATATACAGCCTTTAGTGTAAATCTAAATGTTTTTGATATATATTGAATAATGTGTATACTGTATCGATTCTACTAGTGCTATTTACAACCCCGATTCCAAAAAAGTTGGGACGCTGTGTAAAATCAACATAAAAAAGAGAATACCATGATTTGCAAATCTCATAAACCCATTTTTTATTCACAATAGAAAATATATCTCCTAGATTGTAAGCTCCCATTCTATTGTAAAGTGCTGAGCAAACTGTTGGCGCTATATAAATCTTGTATAATAATATATCAAATATTTAGAATGAGATCATGTACCATTTTAAGAGGGAAATAAAGTAATTTTGAAATTTCAAAATGGTTCATTTTCTCAGTTTAAACATTTGATGTGTTTTCTATTATCTATTGTGATTAAAATATGGATTTATGAGATTTTCAAGTCGTATTCTGTTTTTATGTAGAATTTATGCAGCGTCCCAACTTTATTTTGGAATTGGAGTTGTAGAAGGGAATAAATGAAATGGGGTATACATTCATACAGTTTTTAGCATCACCTTTAGGGCAAATTGTGAATAGGTGAAAAATTACAAAAAGGATTATTTCTGAAGGATCATTGCAGGATGAATAGTGTATTTAATAGGAGCCAGCAAATTTCAAATAACTTTACTTATCAATTCTTGCTTGGAAATGTTATAATGGGAGTGCATGTTATGGTTTCACTTGCTAACAGGCATCAGCAAGTAACCGTTGATTTATATACACTGAAGCTGTGAAGTGAGTGTCGCTGTGTTTTTGCAATTGAAAGGTTAAAGTTGTCTGTTGTGCATGAACAGCTTCCATCTTTCATGGCTTTTCCTGTCTCCTCCATATGTAGAGCGCTTATTACTCTGACCTCAGCCTGGCCAGTGCTCCGCTCTCCTCCAAGCAGCAGCAATCCGTACACAATGGAAGTCGGGTCGGTTACTCCATATCTTTCACATATGCTTGCATCACTCTGTCTTGCTGTCTCTCATGTTCCCTGTCTTTATTTCTTGTGGGTTTTTTTTTTTTTTCATTTAATTTCAAATGTAGATAATTTTAATTCAGATATTAACATTGACATGCAGTGAATGTCAGTTCCCCTTTGTCCTGTTACATATGTATTAAAAGATCAATAATGTGTTTTGCAAAGCGGTTATAAACACCACATGGTGACTTGTACCTACAGGTAGGCTTATAATAAAGCTCATGTGTAGACACAAGGACTATCTCCTGAACTTACACTGTTTAGGAGAGATTCACTATTTTTGTGACATCAGCCAGCAAACCTAGGATGACTGAAGATGGAAGCCCTGTCAGCAGTGACAGCACACTGCTGGATGGCTGAGTTTTTAGGTAAGTCTTTCATAATGTGCTAATATTACATACTAGTACATTATGCCTTTAAATTACAGGGGCAATTTTTTTTTTCATTTTGTTTCTTTTTTTTATACTACCACTTTAACATTTCTGGTCTAACTGCCTAAAATATATCTTTATGTATTCTTCCTACACTCATCCTGGGAACTGATATGGGGTCTGCTACTGAGTTCTGCCAATATAACTTGTTTCAGGCAATGGAAGCTAAAAAGGGAGCTGTTGATGCAGATTACATGAGGAGAGATAATAAAAAGGAAGCCTTACCTAATGTAGTGACAATCATTTATAGTTCACTGAGCAGACAACTGAAAATCTGCTAATGAAAATATTATTATATCCCTGCTACCTCTAAGTTGCGGCAGAAGGATAACAACACAAAACTATAAATATTTAGGCAGGTAGCAGGATTCTCGTAAATGTATTTCTCGGCTGTGTGTGTAGCTATTTGCATATAGTTTTGCTTTAACCATTTAATAAGCCCCACAATGAGCACACAGTTCAGTATAATAAAGTAGAGCGCAAAGTGCATTAGCATATAGCAGCCAATCAGAATTTGTATTTCACTGACCTGACGTTAGAATGTGAAGTCTGGTTGCTGTGGGGTTCACCATTGCTTTATGTCCATCCTCACTGGGGATCATAGAGTTTGTATTTAGCCATTATTTGAAGCTTGCCCTAGGCAGTTTGCATCCGTTAATTCTATTCTGTCTTTTTCCAGCCTTCACTTCTGAACTGCAATTCTTTGCCTTCCAGATCCCAGCGGGTGGGTCATTTATTGCACTCTTTGCTGCTGTTATATGTTACATGAATCGTTTCCCTGTCCACACCTCTCCTTTTTATATTTCTTTCCATCTGACTGTCTGCTCTCTGTTTCTTGCTGCTAGGGGTCCCTGTATGATGAGGGTGTCAGCAGTAGCAGCCGTCGTTCTTCCAGTTCTCGGCCTGTGAGAGTTTCTTGGTTTTATTTTCTCTCATACATATTTATGACAGATAGCTACTGTACTTGTTGAATACAGATCCAACATAACGTACTGTTCTGGAATGTAGCTGTAATCTTATCAGAATTGTTATTTTGGTAACTAGCTACCTTTTTAAATTACAGGTATTGTGAAAAATGTGCAACGTGAACTGTATATGCTTATCAACAAGGTTGAACTGCCTCAGACATTTACACAGCCCATAAAATCTTGACTAGTTCAGCCGACATGTCAACATAAATGGTGTTTAATTAGCGGCACAGGTGCCACTGGCTTCACATTGTTGGCATTGACATGTCAGCCCTGGGCAGCGGTGACAGCCAATAGGGTGTGCTAACCCTGTACCTATGTAATTGTAGCACAAACATACATATTGTGTATGGATAACTTTAAACATAGGATCTTGCATAAGAACTTTGACTAGCAAGATCCTTTATCTTTAATATGCCTGTGTGAATGAGCTCTTGGGTCACGCCCGGTTCTGTTGGGTATTGGCTGCTAATTGCCAGTACACCTCAGTACACTTCTGCTGATACATTGATTGCCACCGTCAACCAGCCACACACAGGTTATATAACAGCGTCGTTTTAGATCTATAAGAGTGGCTGCACTCAGGCAGCCATTGTCCTATGATACAACTTGTTCTGATAGATAGATATATATATATGGAGAGTTAATTCATACACCCAGAGACCAGCTTCAAGTAAAGCTGAGAACGCCATCATTGCTGATATCCCAAGTGCTGGTTGCCTGGCTATATTGACCCACTGGCTTCATTGCTACTCTCCAACTAGAAAATAATAGAATAAGTAAAGTGAGAGAAACATACTTACAGTGGATACAAGGTCTACTCACCTTGTAAAATGCCAGGGTTTGAGATATAAAACAACCAGACCAAGATAAATCTCTCCAGAATTTTTTCTGCTTTTAATGTGACCTAAAATCTGTGCAATTCAATTAAAAACAAAGTAGTAATTAATAAAAAATAAATAAAAATGTAGTTGCAGAGGTTTATGCACCCTCTTATAATTATGGATGTGGCTGTGTTCAGAATTGTATTGCATTTTTTGTTCAATAATTCAAATAATTTAGATGAGAGATTAGCATGACAGGCAGCAAACATTTTTCCAAAGAGATCAGTAATGGTAGACTCTGTTCTAATCTCACTATAATTTTTCTTTTTAGAGTCGCAGGAATATAGATGGGTCGGAATCTTTAATTGTATTATTTTTTTTTTTCATTTGTGTACAACTGAATAGATAAAGATAAAGTGAAGTATTACCAGATAGGCTGTAATGAGGGAGTTCCCTGTAAATATATTGGATAGTGGATGTTTGTGGAAGGATTTCCAAGTTTTCCACTTTCGCAAGAGACTCTCATAAGCAGCACATTAAACATAATCCTATTTGATGTAGAATCTTTTCCAGCAGCTGTCAGCAGCTCATCTGTAGAAGTACTTTTTTTTTTTTTTTTTTTTAATTATTTTTATGAAGTTGCATTGTTTTTCTATTCAGCTATTGTAGCACCTTACAGTTATGGCATTTTACGTGAAACATTGACTATTAGTATACTGGTAATGTTATGATCACTGCATATATCTTTGTAATCCATCCCTTGAGATGGCTTATCTAAGCTGTATTTCTAGTAACCTCTTGCACAGTCAGTTATTTTTAGTAGGTTGTGGTTTCATAGAAGGGGAGGTGGACAGTGGAGATTAGGCCAGATTTACTGGTAGATGAATGTCACAGCTTCACAATATGCTGCAGGTTATTTTATTTACATCATTCTTCTGCATGTTCTGTCTGTGATGAGAAGAAAGGGTATCTTTTCCTGCTTTGCTCCCTTTCCACTATCCTGTGTGGTTACAGTTTCTCTCTCCATTCACCAATGTTCTTTTTTTCTACAATATCTCTCATGCTGTCTTCTCTGCTTTTCTATGGAAGCCCTCTGAGTACAGCTGTTACCTGGGCTCTGGATCTCGTGCCTCCTCTCGTGCCAGTTCTGCCCGTGCCAGCCCTGTGGTGAGGTTTGCTTTTATTTTGTTCTCTTAGAGTTTGTGTAAAGGTGAAAAGGTTCTCTTTAAGACAAAAAGAGAAGGTAGTGGACAGTAGTAAGATGAATGCATATGGTGTTGCCTTTCCAGGTAAAGTTTTAAAATCTACAAATCCTTCTATTATGTTTTTCTAATCCTGTGAAACAAAAACAAGTTTATAAACCAGTGACAAGTTATATAAATTGCTGTTCCACTGTTCTTAAGCTTAGTGATCCATTGTGTGTCTGTAAAGATTAAAAAGGTTTCTAGATAAATTTTGTATTGAACCCCCCCCCCCCATTACTAGTTTATAAACCTCTTATATTTAATATATATATATTGAATATTTAATGCGCGACTTTCATTAAAAAAAGTTGGTAGAAAACATTTTTTTTAAATAGCTCTTTATTATTAAAACAAAACAAAAATAGACTATACCTATTGTGTTCCTAGCTGAACACAAATATATCGATGGCTAATTCCAACTTTTTGTAATAAATGATTGCACCCATACTCATAAAAAAAGTGTTTTTTTTTTTTTTTTTTTTTTTTTCTTGTTTCATTCTTTGTTTTGCATTGAAGCCTGCAAGGCATTGCAACTGCAATAAGTGAATTGTGGGTGCAGTGCAATGGCTCTTGCAGACTATTCATCAAGCCGCAGTTTCTTACCAAAATATGGATCTTCCAGTATGGGGCTGGAGGTAGCATCAATAGATCACAAGTGCAGGGATGTCATTAAATTAGTGCTCCATTAAAAACTGCAATGGTGGCAGATGGAACCTGTTGTTTTTTTGTGGGTTTTTTTCAATCACAGATTCCTGTGAATGAATGACACAGCTGTGCGATCAGAACCAAATTCAAATCATAATAGGATGCTGCAGGAAGAAAAACCTCCAGATTATGTAAAATGTCCATATGGGGATGGTTGCAGATTGTGACCATGTTTCATATTACACTTTAAATGTGTATGAAACCTGAATAAATTAAAATTGCTCTAGTGGGCATAATTGTTTACAAAAATAACTAAATGCTATAACTCTACAACACAATAACTAATTCAGTAGCAAATCCCAGATTGTTAGCACCATGCCATGTCTATGACCATCAAAAAAGTCCATCCATAAATGAGTCCAAACCAGATTAGCCTTGGAGGCTCTACATAAATACTACAAAACAAGACAGCAGAACGCACTGGCATAGTGTAGATACACAAAAAATACATTATGCACTCTCAAATTTTAAAACCTTGTCTGGATTGCATGTAGGTAGCACAGAATGGCTATCTGTTCTGCTGTCCATGGCCTATGGTATCAGGGTCGTGTTTGGGTGAGTTGTGCACTCTACTGTAGCTAATGGAGCAAAGATTATGCTACATTAGCTGCTTTCCCAGTCAGAGCTGGCAGGAAAAGACATCTCTGAACTAGAAAGTAAGCATGCTGCTTCCTAGTTCATTCACCAGAGGGAGCTCTAGCCACCCTACCCAGTGACATCTGCCATGCTGGTCTCAGTCTGACACTGTTCCATTCGGGTGTCTGCAGAATCACTTCCAGGAGAAAGCTAATAGTAGGCTTGTAATATATACACACGCGGAGGTTATTTACTAAAGCTGGAGAGAGCAAAATCTGGTGCAACTCTGTATAGAAATCAATCGGCTTCCAGGTTTTTATTGCCAAAGCTTAATTGAATAATCTGAAGTTAGAAGTTGATTGGCTACCATGCACAGCTGCACCAGATTCTGAGTGCACCAATTTTAGTAAATTTGCCCCACTGTGTTTAAAAGCTGCAGCTGCCAACCGTGCAAGCCTTATGTCCGTGACCACAAAAGTATTAAATATAACCTGAACCTCTGTTTTAAAAATGTAAATATAACCTGAACAGTTTTAAAAATGTCAACTTTTGTTAATACCATTATAATGTTAGTTGACCCATATAGGGTTTCATGCTTATTTGAATTGTATAAAGCAGTGGGTGTTCGGTCAAACCAGTATGAACCATACTGTCTTGAGAAGCAACCCCAAAGGTGGCTGAGATCTTAAGGAAAATAACACACTAGTGGTAGAGGAGCACTGCTATAACAAAACTTTCATGGCCTTTTCTTGTTCTATATTTTTAATGACTCTCATCTGTATTGAGAAAGGATTGTAGCAGGCAGTATCTTCATCTTTTTGGTGTGCTGTAAGCATGAACGTTATTGTTTAGCTTCAATGACAGCAGTTCCTAGTACAATATTGTCTTTGAATGACACAGTACGTTAAAGACTTAATCCATTCAAGACAACTATTTGAGTTGTGGGTGGAAGTCAGCAAATTTACTAACCAGCTGGCACCTACCTAGAGCCCAGGTGGGGGATTTCACTGTAATTTCTGACTCTGCTGCTCTGTCTGTTAGTCTGTCTCCTTGCTATAAAAGAAAATCTTAGTGCCTGTGAAATATAAGTAACCGAAGTAGAAAAGTGTGATTGAACCCAACATCATCCTCCCAAAGCAAAAATCTTAAGTGTTTTGGGTAGATAAACTCTTAATTAAACTTTTAATACTCCTATTCAATTTTAAAGATAGAAATGCCCTCTTTGTGCAGTCCTCAGAGCCTCCGGGTCCATCTGTATTCCAACGTGGGTCCAACAGCGCCAGTATTCCTTCACTTAATCACTTAGACGACGTGGCTGTTCCTGCTGTGGGCAGAGTGAGTGTGCCTGCGGGTATAGAGGGGGACATGACAGAGTGTGGTGTGTTGGCTTGCTGTGCTAAATACTGCATATATTTTGCTATATTTTTTTAGTTGGGTATACATTTTTATGTGCTCTACATACTGTGTATTATCTTGGCAGTGGTTCCTTGTTTATGTATGTATGTGCATATTTACTTGTTGCATATACAGGTTCAGCTTCCTGTTTAAAGGACTGTATAGAGACATGTATGAAGGCTTAAGTTGCTGATCGCCTCCAGAAAATGCTAATTTCCAATCTGTTTCTGGCTTCCATATGAACATGTCACTGGCTGAGCTCCTGATCTGCTGCTTACTTCGGGTCATGACTCCAATATGGAAGCCACAGGGTATGACAAGCAGGAAACTATAATTTTCAGAGGTCTACCTGGGTTTACTTTAACCTTTCTGCACAGTGATTGGGTTTTGCTGTTGCATGCTCTTTTTGGGGTGGATTCAGCCTTACTTGTTTAACTTGACAACAGTTTGCGTCTCACCATAACTATATGGTGAGTTTGTAACTTGTATGTCTTCTGAAAGGATTACTAACATTCTATTACTGATTCATTTCAGCCGATGAGTGTAACCTTTGATCCATTATGGTTAACTGTTTAAGCAGAATTTAACATTTTTATTTTTTTTAACTATTACAGGTGGAAGAAAGATCAGACAAAGACTTTGGAGAAAAGGTAAGAATGCTTTTTTTCACCTCACTATTGCAGCGTTGGGTTTCATATTTGTGTTGTGGACTTTAAAATAGAACCAAAGTAGATTTTTGCTTTTGGATCCGGCCCCATATAGCAGAAAAAAAAACTACTTTGTAAACCTATATACAGTAGACTTTTATCTTGATGCATGGCAAGGTAAAGTATCATTTGGTTGCATAAAGTGGTTTCATTTTATATATTTTATTCAAGTTTCTTTAATCCTGCTACAGTGGGAATTTCACAAATCATCTTCCTAATGTAATATATCTCATAGACCCTGATTGTTTTACTCTTTTTAGGGTAGCCGTCCAGTGTCCAGCTTGTCGGCAGCTACACTTGCTTCATTGGGTGGGACGTCCTCACGAAGGGGCAGCGGAGATACTTCAATTTCTGTAGATACAGAGGCATCTATCAGGGAAATAAAGGTAGCTGCAATCAGTTACAATGACCTTTTAAAAGACATAAGTGTAACTACATGTCCATTACAGTTACACTTATTTTAGCAAGCCCTCAGACATCACTCCCAGCCTTGTACTCACCTGTGTTCAATACACTGTGATCTTGGCTGTGCAGCTTCCTTGGTGCTAAAGATCATCTTGTCAGATTCTCCTCTTGGTCTCATGCATGCAACCGTATGCGAAAATCTTTTTGCATATTACCATGCTCTGTGTTCTCATACAGGATTACGTTTGCTTGCTTGGGAACTGTGACAGGTGGGACCCCCTCTATTTTGCAGCAAGCAGAGGTTTGAGTGTTTGTCCTGCCTAAATGTTCCTTATAGAGTGAGGAATGGTCAGAGCCCTAACAGGTTTTCCCAGAGCTTCTGCTCACAAGTTTTTCAGTTTTAGGTGGAGTTCTGCTTTAAGGGGTTTATTCCCTTTTCCACAAAAATACATTTTACATATATTGCAATACTAGCCTAGAGCCTGTTTGGAGGGCTTGTTTTGATGGCATCAGATTGACATCAGTTTGAGATGCTTGTGAGATTCAGAATTTGTTGAGGTGCTTTTGACCTCCTTCTGACCCTCTTTCGACCTGCTTTAAGCAAGTTTTTCATTTCTAAAGGTTTGTATGAGAATGAAAAACCCACTTCAAGGAATTCTAAACCTTCCTACCTGCACCTTGTGTTTTCACCTGCATAAGATGTGCTTTGATCATGTAGTTTCGTGGTATTATTTCTTGGCCTGTATGCACAGCCTACAATAGAGTAAATCTTCCCTATGTTGTGTTCAAACATGAGGCATGGCACTACACAGGTTAATGCATGACCTCTGTTCCACAAACCCTGGGGGTCTCGGACTAGCACTGGTGCAGTTGCAGTAATTAGATCTGACACAAACAGACTATTCACAAAGAAATTACCATGCTAGAAAAGATGTGTTTTTTCATCACATTGGCACTCCCACATTTGTGCTGCAACACAGAGGAAATTGCAAGGCATGCACTAGATGCTGCTTGACCTAGATCAAGAAGTTGCATTTCTCTATAGTGAATAGGGACAAGTTAGGTAAATGGATACATGGACATAGGAGAGTTGATCGGCAAAGATACTAAAAACTGCAACCATAACATGTAAGACTATCATATTACAAGGTAAGGCAAACAGGGAATATAACTACACAAATACTTAACCGGATATTGTATGTACTCTCCAGCGCCTCAGGATATGCACAGCCAAAAGGGAAGCCAAGGGTACCAGGACAGCGACAACCAAAGGAAATGTTCCAGGGGTGCAGCCCTCCTCAGATGGGGAAATCAGCCACTGGATAGAGAGAAAACAGGTGGCGCACACCTAGTGCATTATCCAAGGTTTATTGTAGGAATGAGATAATAAAAACATACTCACAGACGAAGCATGTATCTAAAAAGCATAGAAAAATGACAATGGCCACAACGGCAGGCAAGGTTTTTGTCACTGTCAGTGCGGTCAAATGGCTGACGCGTTTCGGGGACTAATCCCTTTCCTTAGAGCTGATGACCAACCTCTGATGCTGATGTATGATGTATGTACAGAAAGAGCCTCACTGTTGATGCCTCACTGTTTTCTCTCTACACAAATACTTAGTTAAAACAACAGAAACGTTTGAAAGTGTACAATGTCTTTAAAGCAAATAAAAGCCCATCAGCAAAGGCATCTATGTGGGACTCAGTCAAAGAATAAAAATGGGGTGCCAGTGAGCGCTCTGGATGCACAAAAAGTGTGAGCTGCTCGGACTAAAGGACCACCCTTGGTATTCTCACTGATAAATGAAAAATAGAAGGTGCAGTGCTCAAATAATGGATACATTTTTTAAATAAATACATATAAAAGCATGTGCATATGAATGAATGAATAAATACTGGTGAAGTAAATTAAGCAGCAATAAGTATATAGTAGCAATGATGGTAAAAAGCAAAGTGAGGCGCTCTGATCAGCGTGAGTGATCTGATAAGTGTGTATAATCAATATAGCAATTATTGGTATAATAAGTATAGTGATGGTATACATGACACTGAGCGGTCAGCGTTAAGTGATATTAGAATAGATAAGTGACTCCCCAAGCTTCCTGTCACTTTAAATACTTCTCATAGGCCAGCTTGGTTTAAACTAATTCTTACCATGCCAGAATTTTGTATGACCAGTGGGGCTGTTTCAATACACAGTTGTAGCATTTGCCACATAAAATAAGTGCTGTTGTCTTCCTGGAGGAGTCAGAGCGACTTCACCTCTGCTGCCGGAAACAGAGATCATCAACAGAGTGGCATCTCAGGTATTCAGGAACAGCCTGCATTTTTAGCAATAAATACAAGGCACCTTGTATGACCATGGTGTGGAGATCATGACATCTTCCACCACCTGCCCACCTCTTCCAGTCAAACAATGCCTTGCATACAATGAAAAAAAACAGGGCTGCTTCTGCATCGCCGAGGTGCTGTGCAAGTGACTCAGCAGCAGAGAAGTCGCTTCTATTCCTCCAGCAAGACAACAGGAAGTTTACTGTATGCAGAAAATGCTACAATGTATTACAACAGCCCCAGTGGCCATAACATTCTGGCATGTAAAAATTATTTTTAACGAAGAAGGCCAAACAAGGTATTTAAAATGACAGAAAACCGAGGGTTCTTCTTTAACACAAATATCCCCAACACCTACAGCTATTTAGGTGCTCCACATAGAAAAAATAATCTGCAGCAGTTTCTGGCAATTTGAAGCACACATGCATGGTTCATTGAAATCACCCTGTTGGAGTACACTGGACCTCTCTTTATAAAGGATTAACATAATTATACAGCACACGGGCGGGATGTTCATAGACCAGAAGTTATAGGCTGCTACCTTCAGGTGTTTGGACACTGGCAAAGTGTTTGTTTTTTTTTTTTTGTTTTTTTTTTAACTTGCCCCCCTTCTTTGATGTATACCTATAACCCTATCCCACTCTCAGACCTCAGTTTTTTGCTAGTGTCTTTTGGATGATGGACCTCTTTTCTCTTACAGAGAAGTTTTTGTTTAACTAGTTTCTTTTTTACTTTTGAATTCTTCATTCAGCTCGTCAATCAACCTCTTTTAATCAACCTCTTTATTGCTTTCTTAGTAGGATAAAAGCCTGCAGTACTACTTCAGGCAATGAATCCTGAAGTGCAATACATGTAGTTAACCACCACTTGTTGGTGTCTCCTGACTCTAGTATTCGTTAAATAATTAAACAATATGTAAACCAAAATGTCATATTCCTGATTTATGCCTGCTGCACCATGTACTTGTATGAAAAAGTATCCTGTTGTCTTTCTAATGATCCCTTTATGTGAAATACCTGGTGTTCCTGCTTGTTCTTCTGCTTTCCTATTAAAACTGACATTTGGCATGAAAGCACAGTGTGATCAGTTTTCTAGCAGTTCTGAGAACTCAGCTTGCTCGCCTGCAATAGTCAGTTCTCTGTTCACATTCCCCCCCCTTCCCCACCTGCACAGCCATACAGTGGGCAGTTTATTGTATGGCTGTTTCTCCTTCCCCAGCTCTCTAAGCTCATTATGCAGCTGGGAACAGAGGGTATGTAATCACTTATATAAAAGGGGGAAAAAGGTATTTTATAATGTGTTTTTCTAATGTATACACAAATGTTTTGCCTTTCATTTCTTTTTTAAACTGAATGGGTTGTTTCACATATAGTTTAAACTATCTGCAAACTAGAGATTGTGTTTGATTTACTCACTTAAACATTTAAACTTTCAAACGTGGCAGTAACATATCCACCATTTAGAACTTGGTCTTAGGTGGAAGACCAGATGTTACATCTCACTACAGGTCACACTGTTACCACCAACTTCTGCCCAGAGCCACAGACACTTTTCCATCACTTTGGCCATGATGACGTCGCTACTTTGTGAGTACCTGACAGGGGAATACCCTCTTTGATAGCAATGGCAGAAACCAAGCACAAGGGAATCTCTGCAGAAGCTCAAGCAAACATTCACTCTGTCCATGGCCTACAAAGCACTCAAACCACCCAGAGTGCTGTCTCTTTTCTTGAACTGTAACAGGACCCTTTTTTAACATCGGTATCTACATCTGATTCTAGCTCTTTTAGGTACGCAGCAAGGTGTCTGTGACCAGGCTTCTTCTCCACCTCCTCTAGTCAGAAGTGGAACTACCTCCCTCAGAAGAGGTAAACAATGAAAACTTTGAAGAATGACCCAGAGGCTGTGTTAGAAGAGGCTGCGGAAGATTTCTCACCCCCAGACTCTTACACCTGTGTTATGACTTCAAGCCATATTCTTGCCAGTGTAGATATGGTCACTTTTGCTGTGTGCAAAAAACCCTTGGTATAGTCACGCTTTGTTCTCCTCAGTCCTGCCAGGCTCCTGTGGAAACTAAGAGACCAGAAAATTAGAGAAATAAATTCCCCATTCATGAACAAATAGGATGGGCAATTTATGAAAATTTCTTCTGAAAAGGTTTTCATCCCTCTGAGAATCATTGTCAAGTGGAAAAAAAAGTGGACTGG